TTGGAGCATGCTCTGTTTGGGAGTGTACGTGGCTTGCTGTGCATGTTGATTTGGTTTGTTGTGGGAAGGTCGGTATTTTTAAAAAATTGACAAAAATATTTAAAAAATAATATTTATGTGTTGTGTTGGTGTTGTGTGTTGTGTGTTGGTTTGTCAATCTCTGTTTTAGGAGCGAATTATTTTAGCTCTTATAACAAAGTTTAAGTAAGTAACAATATATCCATCCCCCTGTCTTTTTAGGAAAGCAAAAAAAACCATTTAAATCGCTAATATTTGGCACCTTCAAAAAAAACCCAATAGGATAAAACTTTTTATTAACCCCGGGGCAAGATTAAGAACCTGTCCATCAGGGTTTGAAGTTTGGGGGTGAAGGCGTATACGAAACTTCACCCCCCAGCCACCCAATTATCCAAGCTAATAGCAATTTTTTCTATAATCATCTAAACCAAATAATCTTTAGGAGCGAATTTTAAACAAAAAAAAAACATTTGTAGTTGTTATAAAAAAAAAAGGCAAATATACTAAGGCTAAAAACTAAGCTCTAACACAAAAATTGCCCAAATATGAACTCTGGAATCATGATCATTTCAACGATACTGACTTTTTTGCCCAAGGAACATGGGGCAACAACATTTTGCATATTAGAAAGGACCCTTTCCATTTTAGGGGTTTTTTCTCATTTTAAATACAAATTCAGCAAGCCATTGAAAAAATTGGAAAACAGGCTTGGCTAGGGGAGTTTTCAAGCTTAAATAAAAGTCTTGGGACGTAGTAATATAGCCTATATATTATAAAAAAAGAAAATGTTTTTGTTTTAGATTAGGAGTCACCATATGGGCCATCTAATTAATATTAAAACTAAGATAAATTCCGGGAATTTTTCCCATTTGTGGGGAACAAATAAAGGAATATCTTATCTTTATTCTTATTTAATAATAATATAATAATTAATTTTAATATTTAGTCTTTTCTTCGTTTTTGTTAGGACAACGCCATGCCTTTCAACAATTTTTATTTTCTTTTTTTAAATTCTAAAAATAGTTTTTCACTGGCTCGTTCTTCCAATGTGGGGGAAAGAGGCTTCATATTTGGGAATTGAGACTTAAAACAAAGAACTTTTATATGTAAAAAAAAACACAAGCAAGACATTTTTCGGCCTTGTAAAAAACAATTTCAAACCCAATCCACATTAATTTTACCATTTACCATTTTGCTTTTCCTGCTGCGACAATGCTTTTCAAAACAAGATTATTTTGATCTACGGCATTATGTAAGTAAATTCAGCTGACATGTGCCCATATTACCCGCCAGTGATCCTGCAGGATTGTCTCATATGTAACCTATAGGTGGCGCAACAGCAAGTATTGAAATGATAATAAATTAGAGGTCTGACTCAAATGTAATTTAGCATTACCTGATGCAGATGTCCATATGGAAAATCTGTTTATTATAATAAAATAATACATTCTCGCGACTGTGCAGCCTGGAGACACGTGCTACCTGCCCGCTGTGGAGTTTGTATTTGGCCTTTTGTTTCGACACTCTCTCTAAAAAATATTTAGGATCGGCTAAAATGTGTTTAAGTCTCCATCCGTCCGGGCAGCCGAGGCTTTCAGACACACAAAAGAAATAACCTGTGCTGAGAAAATCTCTTTTCACTAAAATCTCAACATACACATACACACCCAGTTCAATTACTGTGGCCATGGCAACTATCAGAGATTATTGCTTCCAGTCAGCACTGCACGGCTGTTAGACGAGGGTATAAGCCCCTCCGTATCTCAGGCCTCCACACACACACACACACACACCCACACAAACACACACACACACACACGCGCGCTGAACAGGGAATGCTTGCAAGTATACACTCCTCTCTCTGAGTGTCTCTATCTTGCTGTCTCTCTCTCTCTCTCTCACACACACACACACACACACGGAGCCTGAATTAATCCTTCTCTTTGTAGCCTTAGAAGCTAAATTGGTCGCCCCAGCAACCAATCTTACAGCCCTTTCAAAGAAAAAGGCAGTCTGAAAATCCATTTTGTCATGAGGAAGTACCTTAGAAATACATCTATCGTGCGGGGGAGGATTTATTGCGGTCTGGTATAATTTCTTTCTTTATTTCTTTTTTTATTTATTTTACTATATAGGCCTAACGTTTATTATATAGGCCTAAACTATTTTAGATTTGCAATATTTTATATTTCTGCAACCATAATTCCTTTTTTTAATTAATTATTTTACGTGTCTTCTTTCACATTTCTCCATCCGTGTAGAAGAAGTTTCCTTTTTGCGGATTTAGGGTGAGGCAGCATGTATTTTTGTGTGTGACATTTGCAGCCCATCCTCTGTCCCAGCGTCAGCCCGGGGATTGTGCATGTGATGGGGGAGGGAGAGATGCCTCAAGGACTCTCCCTATTTCCTCACTGCCCTACACACACACACACACACGCACATACCCCCAGACATGGATGACACACACTCACTAACAAACACTATGTTGGCCTGAACGCAAATAGCAGCTGGCCAAGCAGCCCAAGCCAAGCATGAAAATATGCGGAACTTTCTCTGTCCTCTGGCTGGTTTCTAAATTTAGACCTCTCGTCCATGTTACGTTTTTTTGTCTTCCAGTGCTGCTCGTAAAATATTGTCTCTTCTGTGCGCACCATGACAATTTTAATCAGCCTTGAAAAAAATCATCTCAATTTGTCCTTTTTCCAATTTGTGTCCTTTTTAGTTAACAGGAAAGTTCAGTGTCTTTTAAAGCGCATAAATTGCAGCGCTGAGAAATCCCGTGGTTTCTATCTCTCTGCCACAGTGGGACACATTTCTGCAAGCAGGCTGCAAAAAAAATAAATAAAATAAAACTGATGACAGTTTTGCTCAGACGTGTCGCAGCAGATTATGGAGGCAAAGACGAGGTGCTTCGTATTCCCGAGGATTAGAGCTGAGGAGGAGAGGAAACAACTCTCCCCTTGAGATTTTTTCCTTTGTGCAGATCTTTAGTAAATTCAGCCCACTAATAGACAATAATTAATAAATCTATTTTCTTTATTATATTATATTTTTTCTTTAATTCTGAGTGAAACAGAAAAGGCTGAGGAGGAGTCTGAGCCGTTTATGTCCTGTGTTCAGGAGCTGTCCGTGGTGCTGCTGTCGGGGCTCTGCAGCAGGCCAGCTGCAGGATGTTCATCATATCAACAACGAGTTGCATCCCGTCACAGCCTGCTGAACATGCTCATCTGGAATCAGGCTGTTAAATGAGCCGGACACTTGTAGACCTACGCATTCATGAGAAATTCAAACACGCAGACCAACAGTGTAATTTAAGTGTGTTAATGTGAGCGTGCGTGGGGCCGCATTTCATATGGAAACAGGCCTTCCTGAATTATCGCAGATTCTGTTTAAAGAAAGAAATGTGTAATTAAAAATAATAAAGCATTACTGGGAAATGCATTCAATATTTTATGTTGGCAAATATGTTGTGTGTATAAATTAGAAACGCAATTTCATCACTTCTAAAAACATTATCCTATTCTATCCTTATTACAGAAATACAGGAGATGTGTGTGACTGTATCTCACAGTAGATATGCTGCAGTCCGCGCGCTTCATTTCACAAATTTAAGACTGATTTCAATTGATAAAATACAATTGAGCAGGTCAGAAGGAACAGTTACATTTTTCTTCTAACGAAAACAAAAAATCTCTGTTCGAATAAGGCGTTAATTGTAGGTTGTTTGTGATAGATACCGCAAATATCCTAATAATTAAAACACATAGCCTTATAGTGTAGCATTTATATATAAATATATCGTATATATATAAGTATATGATACTCTATATAGGGTGTGATTCGGTTACATTTTGATAAATTGATGCAGGGGAGGCCTTTGTTAGATATTTAATTTATCAAATTTTTTTTTTTTTTTTTTTTTTTTATATAAAAACCAGGTTCCTGACGCCTGCGGTTTGTTGATGGCTGTACCCGCAGCATGAAAGCAGACGTGAAATGCTTTGATCCCTTCAATTCATGCATAATGTCAGGGGGCAACTGTGTAACACTTAGCTTGCCGTTAAATGACCTTGCCCGTTTCATCCCTCGTGACTTACTCTTTGCCGTTATTAAATAAATTTCTTCTCAGTCTCATCCAATCTCTCTCTACCTCTCTTCTCCAATCTCCATCTCCTCTCTTCTTCTCCATTCTCTCTCTCTCTTCTCCCCTCTCTCTCTCTCTCTCTCTCTCTCTCTCTCTCCATCTCTCTCCCTCTCTCTCTCTCTCCCTCTCTCTCTCTCTCTCTCATCCGTGACAATTATCCTGCGCGCGAGCCGTTACACTGGCACTCTATGCGGACACGTGCACGCTCCTCGCGCTCTCTCTTCGGGTGATGCAGTCAGAGATCCCAGCGCTCGTGCTGCTGTCACCACAGGACCCCCAGCTGACATCAGTGCTCGGAGACAGAAACATGCTCAAACATCCTTTCTAACGACAGATGAGGACTTCTTTTCGTCTTTGTCTCCGGTGTGTGTCGACTGTTCGTCGGGGGAGAGATTCTTTGAGGGAGTAATATGGATGAGCAAGTCAAGAAAAGCGGCTGAGGATTGTAACGGTTTGGGAGAAACGGTTAGTTGCCGTTAGGAGGTTGGTTACTTCACGACGACATCAAAGAGGCAACAGGCATGAGTTCACAGTAACGGCTTTAAAAGAAAACAGCACATAAATTAACCTGCATGCTCCTGCTCTTTACTCGGTAATACCATTTCCAGTCGAAGAACGCACAGCCTGTTTTATTCGGATAAAGATGGCTCACCTAATACGACACAAGCTCAGCAACAAGCTGACCAACGCGGCCCACACGGTGTCCAACAAATCCCAGGCCAAGGTCAGCGGGGTGTTCGCCCGGCTGGGCTTCCAGGCCGCGACGGACGAGGAGGGCTTGGGATTCGCCGAGTGCGACGACCTGGATTATGACTACAGGCAGGGGATGCAAATGGATGTCCTTCAGGGAGACGAGGAAGGGGGACACATGGGGGGAGAGGGGGAGGGAGAGGGGGGCCTGGAGGGAGACAGCCACTACCAGAGAGACGGCACCGGCCGCAGGGCCTCCTCCCTGAAGACGGGAGGCTCTCTGGATGAGGATAAACCAAAAATCACCACATGGGAGGCTGGCTGGAACGTCACTAACGCCATCCAGGTACACTGTGACCTCACTCATCCTGCATGCGTTAACAGCGCGAGCTGCACGGAGCAGGCCTGCAACTGGACAAAAAGTCACCTTGAACGTTTTCATGTTTTAAGATTTAAGGTTTCTGCAGGGAGAGAGAGGGGGTCTGTGGATGCGCATTATTTCACACATATCCACGATAAAGCAAAGTAATGGGCTGTGACATTATTTCACACATATCCACGATAAAGGCAAAGGGTTAAATAACGAATACAATTATATTGAGCTTTTAAATGCATTAAAAAAAAAATGTTAGGGCTAATTGTTGTTATAATTAAATGCAGGTTTCGATTTAACGTGTAATTCCTGGTTTGTGGGTGGATTGAAGCCAGCAGCGGGTCTTAAAATGTATTTATTCAGATCTCTTTATCAGTGTGCTGCAGCCGGGCCTGTCGCACACTGATAGCCCCGAGGCTGAATGGCACCCACGTGCTTATCAGTGTCCTCATCAAACCGAAGTTGTAATCAAATGAATTAAAAATGTCGTTTCCAAATGGTCTTTTTAAGCTTTAACTCGACTCAGCGCCGCAAACTAAAGGCCTGTTTTCAAGGGCGAAGGAGAAACTAACGCAGAAGTGATCCGCTGAGATAAATCACACATGTCTGCGTCGCGCTGTTAAATGAACGCGTAATAACACGGGTTTGTTACTGTCATTATGTAAGATGAGCAGTGTGAGCCGGGCCATTGCGTGCCTGGCCTGGCTCGGCCTGTCACTGCGATGTGGGCCTCGGCCTTTACCACTCAACTGCGCCTCTCTGTCCGCAGGGCATGTTCGTCCTCGGCCTGCCGTACGCCATCCTCCACGGCGGGTACCTCGGCCTCTTCCTCATCATCTTCGCGGCCGTGGTCTGCTGCTACACCGGGAAGATCCTCATCGCGTGTCTGTACGAGGAGAACGAGGACGGCATCAAAGTGCGCGTGAGGGACTCCTACGTGGACATCGCCAACGCCTGCTGCGCGCCCCGCTTCCCCGCGCTGGGCGGGCACGTGGTGAACGTGGCTCAGATCATCGAGCTGGTCATGACGTGTATCCTCTACGTCGTGGTCAGCGGGAACCTCATGTACAACAGCTTCCCGGGGTTCCCCGTCTCCCAGAAAGCTTGGTCCGTGGTGGCCACCGTCGCGCTGCTGCCCTGCGCCTTCCTGAAGAACCTGAAGGCCGTGTCCAAGTTCAGCCTGCTCTGCACCGTGGCGCACATCATCATCAACGTCCTCGTGGTGGCCTACTGCCTCTCCAGGGCGCGCGAGTGGGCCTGGGAGAAGGTCAAGTTTTACATCGACGTGAAGAAATTCCCCATTTCAATCGGCATCATCGTGTTCAGCTACACCTCGCAGATCTTCCTGCCCTCCCTGGAGGGAAACATGCAGAAGCCCAGCGAGTTTCACTGCATGATGGAGTGGAGTCACATCGCAGCCTGCGTCCTCAAGGGCCTCTTCGCCCTGGTGGCCTACTTGACTTGGGCAGACGCCACCAAAGAGGTCATCACGGACAACCTGCCCTCGACCATCCGGGCCGTGGTGAACCTGTTCCTGGTGGCCAAGGCGCTCCTGTCCTACCCTCTGCCGTTCTTCGCTGCTGTCGAGGTTCTGGAGAAATCCTTCTTCCAGGATGGCGGGAGAGCCGTCTTCCCTGACTGCTACGGCCCCACGGGGCAGCTCAAATCTTGGGGTCTGGGTCTTCGAATCACCCTGGTCGTCTTCACCCTGCTCATGGCCGTCTTTGTCCCCCATTTCGCCCTCCTCATGGGTTTAACTGGGAGCCTCACCGGCGCTGGCCTGTGCTTCCTCTTGCCAAGCCTCTTCCACCTGAAGCTCCAGTGGAGGAATCTCCTCTGGCACCACGTCTTCTTCGACGTTTCCATTTTTGTTATTGGAGGCATTTGCGCCATTTCTGGCTTCATTCACTCGATTGAAGGGCTCATAGAGGCGTTCAGGTACAATCTCCACGACTGAGAGAGCTTCAGAGATGACCTTTACTGAATGCTGTCGTCCTGAAATGCCGCACTCCGGCAGGTTGTCATGACTCAGACCTTATCAAAACATCACGTTGACCACCTGACAGAGAAGCTCACGAGGAGGATTATTTGTGTGAAATGTACATCTTTTTATTTTGCCCTCGTGATAATGTGCAATAATAAACTCTACGATCATAGTGTAAAGTAGTTTACTCATTCCAGAAAACGTGTTTTATGAGCCGGACAGAGGAGCGCAACCTCCGCATGAAAGGGGAGGAGGGGGTTAATATGCGGACTTTAACAAGCCTGTCCAGGTTTCAGTCTTCATGCAAAGTTGTCAAAGATCCAGTGAAAATGTCCGCCATGGGTCTAACTGTGAGTGTGTACGTGTTTATATCTGGGGAATGAAATATGTGAAAAACAATGGAGTGAATTTGTTCTTATTGGTTTTTGAGCTGCTAGATAGATCATTAATCCCACTCAGAGAAAAAAAAAAAAGACCTAAGGCACCCGTCAGATCAGATGGTGCTCTTTGGATCAGTAAATAAACCATGAATAACGTATGTGTAGTTGTTTAAGCAGAATTATCTTTCAGTTTGTTTCCGTTTTTGTATTTTATTTTCCATCTTATGCCTATAGTAGTCCTGTTTGTTTTCTCGGTGTTTCAAGTGTCATTCTGGATGAAGTGAATTCAAAGTGCAAGCAAGTGGGTCCTAATTGTGTTATATGAAACATGTCTGTCTGATAATATTCTCTTCCTATTGAACTTGTTAATTGTGACTTAATGGAACTAATCATGGTGTGTGAGACAGAGTATTTGTTGAATTAAGAGATAAATAAATCAAATATTTTATGGCTGGTGATTCTAATCTTTCCTTGAAATGTAGCCAGGGATGACTGAGAAGCCTCGCTGAGTTCACTTTTACTTTCGTTTTTTATTGAAAGAGAACGAAGAGAAAAGCTTCCCTTTTTTAAAAAGGTTTAAAGGTTCATTTAGTTTCCCCTTTCTTAAATCAACAATGTGAGCTTCTGAAAACACGACTGGGTTGCAGCTGCAATGTTCAACTGAAGCCAAGTACATTTTATTTATATAGTCAAGGGGCTCAATGTTGTGTTACAGCTACATTTGCCAATTTAAATCATTCCTGACAGGTTGGAGGCCCTCCAAACAGCAGAGTGTGTGAAAACCTGCACTGTAGATACATCACTGATGTAACTGTAGTTCACCGGTGCATTCAGGACAAACAAACAGGGTTGGACTACAGTTGATTTTTTGAGCCTGTAGATCTCACACCACTGTATTTAAATAAAAATACAGATTGCTGCTTGTCTAAAATGTTTCAGAAGGTAATGCAGAGTGTGAAAGAACAGACAAAACATCATTTTTCACTTCCTCTTAAATGTTAGTTGACCATGAAAGGCATTTATTTTAAGAAAGAGGATGTTTCCATTGAATTTCTGATAAGATTAACTTCATTTACTCTTTTAACACAATGGTTTTGTTCAGAATGTGTGGGAGCGGTGGGGGTGTTACTC